TGAAAATTAGTGTATTTTAAAATTATTTTTTTAAATCGAGTATTCGCACAAATGTTAGAAAAATTAACTTTTTTAATATGATTTTTTAATTATTGATGTAGTAAATTTAGTTAAAAATGATGACACAATTTTTTTGTATTTTTTTGAGGATTTTGCACGTTTTTGAGCCATGCAGAAACTCAAATGCTAGATTTTCACAAAAACAAGTTGAAAAATCGAGAGATAGTTTTGTTTTTCTAAAAAAAATCGCTAAAATGGGTCAAAAAATACATTATTTTGTCCATTTTGAGAGCGTTTTAGTATGTTTTTAGCCAGAAAAAGAACTATTTTGCAAAATTTCGATAAACCAAACCGAAATTTTATCAAATTAGGCCAAAGCCAGTGTTGTTTTTGCATTTTTAGAGTGTTTCAGCGCGTTTTTAAAATACATTCAAATTTTTGCTAAAACGGACTAAAAAATTACCAAATTAAATTGAAATTGATATTATTTTAGCTTGTTTCGCTCGATTTAGTTCGTTTTTGAACGAAAGACTTTCAAGATCTTGTCAAAAAATCACAAAAACGAATCTAAATTAATGATAATTTGTCTGTTTCACTCGATGTAACTGATTTTTGAGCAAAAATTAATAAAAAAAAACCTAAAAATTGGTCAAAAGTAATGTTATTTATAACTTTCTCAAGCATGTTTTTATACTAAAGCCTAATTTTTTTCCAATCTTATAGCAAAACAAATCAAAAAATTACCAAATTAATTCCAAAATTATATTATTTTTTTCTTTCTTGAGCGTTTCAACACGTTTTTTGGCCAGAATCGCAATTATTTCGCAATTCGCAAGAACTTGTGAAAACAAGCCTCAAAATCAGAAGAACAAATCAAAATTCTGGTATTTTCTTTGTATCACTTAATTTAACTAGTTTTTTTTAGTAAAAAGTAATCAAAAATAAGCAAAAAAATCGGAAAATTTGATCGAAAACTACTTTTTTTAAACTTGTAAACACGTTTTCCAACTAAAATCTTACGTTTTTTTAAAGATTTTTCTAAAACAAACCAAAAAATTACCACATTAAATAAAAAATCAAATAATTTTTGCCTTTTTCGAGTGTTTTAGGACATTTTTCAGCTGAAACTTTATCAAATTGGTTTAAAAATAGCATTATTTTTGCTTTTTTCGAGTAGCTAAGAGCGTTTTTAAGATAAAAACAAATTTTAACAATTTTTTTTTTAATTGTCTGAAAAATTACTAAATTAGATTGGTATGGACATTATTTTAGCTTGTTTCGCTCGATTTAGTTCGTTTTTAAACCAGAGACTCATTTATTTTGCAGGATATTGTCCAAACATGCTTAAAAACAACAAAAATAAATCTAGACTGATGCTATTTCGTTTGTTTTATTGGATTTAGCTCTTTTTGAGTGAAATTTTGTCAAAAAATAAGATGAAAAATACAAAATATGGTCGAAAATGGTGTTAATTGCAAGATTTTGCTGAAACAAACCAAAAAAACATGAAATCAAAACATTATTTTTGTCTTTATCAAGTGTTTTAGCATGTTTTTCAAGTAAAAACGTAAATATCGGGTGACTATAAATGATTTGGTGTCAAATTTAAAATTTAATTTGGCAACCTTGACTTTCAAATTCAAACGTCAAACTTTTATAGGCAATTGTCATTCATTTGCGACGGGCGACTGCTGATTTAGCCGTCATCTGAACCATTCTGATATAACAAATTTAGAAAGATTACCACTAATTCAATGTTGCCAATAGATTTTTTGTCACCCGGTATTTCGCAAAATTTAATTAAAAACTAGCCAAATGTAGAATACGTGAATGTTCGAGAGTATTAAAAAAAAATAAATCACATAATCTTGTAATCTGGTAACTTTTCATTTCAGATCTGGTGAATTTAATTCTTTTGAGCTGGCAACACTGGGTGTTACCAACCTTAAAACTCCTAATCTGGCAATAAATATCCAGTTTTATGTGCGAGTTTTTGTGACGTTTATTGTTGAAGATTTATCATCGGTAGTGGCGTAAGCCACTCATTTCTCTCTCGTGTTTTAAATAAATATTTAATCTAGTGTGCGGTGTAAAACACGTCGATTAATCATCCATGTTTTTGTATATTTTCATATTAAACGGGTGCACTTAATGTGGCGTTTGTTGCATAATATTTGAATCGGATATTTGTTTTCACAGTTGTGTCAATATTTATGTTGAAAATAAACTTTCTGTCATTTGGTGGTTGTCTAACCAAATTCAGGGCCTTCCCCGAATTACCATCGGCCCACTAGATTAAAAGAGGAGTCGAGTTGCGTTGATTAATCAACTAATTCTCGACCCCATCCAACACCAACTTTCTAATTAGAAAAATTAATCACACAATCCTCGAAATGGAAATGAAACAGAATGAAATCGATGAATATTAATTGCGACTCGCCTACTGCCTTTATTAAAATTTTTGTAATGACAGTAGGGGGCGCCACTTGTGTTTTTTTTTTCTGGGATTAGTAGTTGTTGTGTTGTTAATCACCAGACACGCGACATTTAACTGTCTAATAAGAGAGCGAATTTGATGCGATCAAATCGGGACAGTATGGAGTCAAGGTTGCGCTACATTTTTACTATTATTTTATTTTATGTTTGTAATTGCTGCACCGGCCCACGTTTCGCCTTTTTTGGTCGTCTTCGTGTAGTTTTTGTCGGTTTACATGAAATTGCATCAAAAATTGGGTCGGGCCTGACGTAAAATAAATGAATTATGAAAGAATGAAAGAGTTCGATTTTTTACTGTCGCAACAGATTACAAGAAGATAATGAACGAGGAAGTGATTGTTTTGTTTTGTAAAATAGATTAACTAGACGTGTAGGAGGCACAGACCATTTAGAGACCAATAATATGATGTAATTGTTGTCGGTTTATTAATGAAGAAAAAAAATGATAATCCATTGAAACTAATTAGGTTGTCATTTTTCAGAAAAATTGTTTTCATTTAATTTTTAGTAAATTTTCTGTTTGTTCTTAAAGAATTTTTGCGAAATAATTGCGTTTCTAGCCGAAAAACGTGCTGAAACGCTCAAGAAATTTTTTGATTTGTTTTTGTGATTTTTAGACGCGTTTTGAAAAGATCTTGCAAGTCTTTGGTTCAAAAACGAACTAAATCGAGCGAAACAAACTAAAATAATGTCCATACCAATCTAATTTAGTAATTTTTCAGACAATTTTAAAAAAATTTGTTGTTAAAATTTGTTTTTCTTCTTAAAAACGCTCTTAGCTACTCCAAAAAAGCAAAAATAATGCTATTTTTAAACTAATTTGATAAAATTTCAGCTGAAAAATGTCCTAAAACACTCGAAAAAGGCAAAAATTATTTGATTTTTTTATTTAATGTGGTAATTTTTTGGTTTATTTTAGAAAAATCTTACAAAAAACGTAAGATTTTAGTTGGAAAACGTGTTTACAAGTTTAAAAAAAGTAGTTTTCGATCAAATTTTCCGATTTTTTTGCTTATTTTTGATTACTTTTTACTAAAAAAAAACTAGTTAAATTAAGTGATACAAAGAAAATACAGAATTTTGATTTGTTCTTCTGATTTTGAGGCGTGTTTTCACAAGTCCTTGCAAAATAAAGTGTCAGTTTTAGAGCCAATTATAGAAAAAAAATTCAGAAAAATTGTTTTAATTTTTAGTAAATTGTCTGTTTGTTCTTAAAAAAATTTTGGGAAATAATTGCGTTTCTGGCCGAAAAACGTGTTGAAACGCTCAAGAAAGAAAAAATAATATAATTTTAGAATTAATTTGGTAATTTTTTGATTTGTTTTACTATAAGAAAAAAATAAGGCTTTAGTATAAAAACATGCTTGAGAAAGTTATAAAAACACTATTTTTGACCAATTTTTAGTTTTTTGTTAATTAATTTTTGCTAAAAAATCAGTTACATCGAGTGAAACAGACAAATTATCATCAATTTTGATTCGTTTTTGTGATTTTTTGACAAGATCTTGAAAGTCTTTCGTTCAAAAACGAACTAAACCGAGCGAAACAAGCTAAAATAATATCAATTTTATCAATATTTTTAGAAAAAAAAAAAAATAGTTTTCATTTCAAAAACGTGCAAAAAGCAAAAATAACACAAAAAGAGCTAAATAGAATGAAACAAACGAAATAACATCAATTTAGATTTATTTATGTTGTGTTTAAGCATGTTTTGACAATATCCTGCAAAATAAATGAGTCTCTGGCTCAAAAACAAACTAAATCAAGAGAGACAAGCTAAAATAATATCAATTTCAATTTAATTTGGTAATTTTTCAGTCCGTTTTAGCAAAAATTTGAATGTATATTAAAAACGTGCTGAAACACTATAAAAATGCAAAAATAACACTGGTTTTGGCCTAATTTGATAAATTTTCGGTTTGTTTTTAACGAAATTTTGCAAAATAATTCTGTTTCGGACTAAAAACATACTAAAACGCTCAGAAATGAACAAAATAATGTAGTTTTTGACAAATTTTAGCGATTTTTTTACCATGTTGAGTGAAATATCATTTAGAAAAACAAAACTATCTCTGGATTTTTCAACTTGTTTATGAGAAAATTTAGGTTGGCTAAAAAACATGATAAATGTTTAAAAAAAAAAATACAAAAAAATACTCTCATCATTTTTGACTGAATTCACTATATCAATAATTAAAAAATCAAATTAAAAACGTTATTTTTACTAACATTTGGGCAAATACTTGATTAAAAAATATTATCATCAGAAATTAAAATTGTTGCAAAAGTTTTCACCAAATCATTAAACTACTATAAAAATCACCAGATCTGGTGAAATTTCACCAAACCTGGTAACGCGTGAAAATCGCACTAAATGTATTGATATCGTAATAAAATAGCAAGTATCTACAATAAAAAATGAGTTACAATCCACGAGCCACGTAGCGGCGAGTGGATCAACAAATGGCTTGTATATTATTTATCTGTTTTAAATTAAAAGTTACCTGGTTGAAATAGGCTGGTAATACACATCTTTGGTCATCTAATCTGGAACTTTGGGCTTTTTCTAAGAGCTCGAAGAGGTCGCAAGTGGTGCCTTTGAGTCTATCCGGGCTCTGTCTGATTGGGGGCTGTTGCACCCCCGTCAATGCCGTCGTCGTCCCATGCCATGTTGTGTTGCTCTGATGCTGGCGCCTGAAACAAACATCTCTATTACCATAAATGACCATAAAGATGTTATCCGGACTTCCGGTCGGCGATTATGCAACTCATGACTCATGACGACATATGGCGGCGCTGCATCCCCCCACAATGAGCTGTTTGATATAATGGAAAAAAGTTATTTTGATGTAATGACTGCACACAAAGGAAAGTGCTGATTAATTAATTAATTAATTAGGAAAATTCAATTGATGTAAGCACAGTATGGTACATAAAGAAAGTTTTTATACTTTCTGATCAAAGTGAACTGAGACTTTGACATTAAGTTGGCAGTACCGACGTGTGACGTTTGACAGTCACTATTGCCAACTTAACTAAAGGAAACTTGTCGTGCCATAAAAGGTAGCTCCGGTTAATTAACAAGTGTGCATTTAACCAATTTTCTATAATTATCCATGTTTGAAAACCTACACAAATGTTAATAACTTCTTAAAACCAACCTTATTAATATTTTTATTACCACTTGTTACATCAACCATTAACGAGCATGTTTTCAACAAACTCCCATAAAGCACAAGTGGGTCAAACATTAAAAAAAACACACACTCCGAGATCAGTGAAAGCCCGAGAATGTAAAATGTGAAAAACCTGTTTCCAGTTTTGTTCAAGTAAACAAAATCTCTCAACCCCCTAAAAGCGGAACATGTCGTAAATGACACAGACCATGTTGAGTTTGAATAAATTACAATGAAATAAAGCGTATCTGTGTGTGTGTTCTGATTGTTTTTTGAAAAACATGAAACCGAAGAGAGGCCCTGTCACCGCCACATCTCAGTTAAACACACAAACAAAGAAAAAATCCCACTGACAGGCCATCAAACCAAAAAAACATGTCGCTGATTAATTCAATCGGGCGCTGCGACGTACGTCCCGCGCTCACACAAGTATCGCGTTTCATATTCCATTCATAAAAAATAACCAACAATAATGGGGGCGCGCAAAAATACACAAAAGTGTATCGATCTCTTTTTTCCGTCATGTGAGTTTGAAATTAAATTGGCAACATTGAAAAAAGTAGACAGAACAAAAAAGTTCTATTGGCAACAATGAAACTTGTAGTGTTTATATCTGACAGTCAATGGCCTACTTGATGACAAAATTCAGTGTTCTTTTCCTGTCCAGTGACTTTGAAATTAAGTTGGCAACATTGACGTTTATATCTAACAGTTATTGTGGCCAAACTTGATCAAATTCAGTCTTGCCAACTTAATTTTGAAGTCACAGACTACTTTAGAATAAATTTTGTTGAAAAAGCTGTAATTTTTTTGTCGTCCTCTCTTATCAGAGGGAAAATTCGCAGGAATTCGTGGAAGAAAAGGGGAAATGTCGACCGCAATCGCATCATGTCGGAAATGTAAAGGTCGCGACGCTAATGGAACCGGAAGTAATCCGATTCGGATACAGGTCAGCGGCGATTTAAAAATGTCGATCAAAATTCACAAATTCTTATGTAAACACTTCCTTTATTACAAAACGGCCCCCAAATGAAAAATTCATGACTTGTGTGTGGCAAGTGTGCCTTTCAACCAATTATTTTAATTGGCTTTCGCAATGAAAATAACAAATTTTCGCGGTAGAACAATCATTACCAAACTTGGAGCTTAAATATCATTAAATTCATATTCAAAATTCAGTTTAGGACGGTGCACACTCAATTTAAAATTAATTAATTTCCTCTCGTATCTTTTATAAATTGGATTTTAGACAAGGGTCATAAAACAGAAGCTGGTAAATGGGTTGTTCAACACAATATTGATGAAGAGTGCGTAATTTTTGCAAAACGAAACAAATGACAGCAATTCAATCCTAATTGTGTTATACTCAACGCTAATTTTACCGGATTTTTGCCAAAGCGAATTGCCATTCATTCCAAATGGCAGTTAAGTTGTCATCACTGACAGCTACGTGGGTGCAAACATGCGAAAACTAGCCGTAATTAATAGCAAACCTAAGGATAAATGCACAAGATAATGCTCAAGTTTGACCCCACAACCGCCATTATCCGAAAAAATCAAGCCATCTGGCCAAAAATTTTTTTTTTGAAAAGRTATGTAACTAATATGACAGATGAGTTCCGAAAAGTATTACTTTACGAACTATTTCAGAAAAAACTTTTATTTTATGAAAATAATTGAAGACAGTTAACAATTTCGATCCAAATGCGATAAAATTGAATTTATTTATCTAACATTTTCTCGGCGTCTTACCATAAGCYAAATAAATTCACATTTCACACACACTCGACGTATTTTCTCTTGTTAAGATGATTATCAACAACACTGGAAATGATTAAAATTTCGCATTCAAGAAAAGATAAAGATTTGAAAACATGATCTCTTGGCTTAGATCTTCTATTTTTATCAACGAGGTGCTGACTGAAACAATTCGGCTATTTTTAAAAGAAGAATTTAAATATTTAAGTTTTACGTTTGTACAAACGTGCTGTGCCAACAAAAGACGCTTTTACGTCTTTTGCCAAGTTTGTTGCATAATTTTTTAAGGTCAGTTATTTTTTTCAATGTTGCTGAAAAACACTGAATTTTGTCATAAAGTAGGCCATGAAATCTTAATTTTTCAACATTGTCTGTCAAGTTTCAGTCTTACCAAMAGATCTTTTTGTTATTATTTTTTGTTCAGTTTTCAAAGTGACTGGACAAAAAAAAACACTGAATTTTGTCTTCAAGTAGGTCATGAAATGTTAATATGGCAACATTGACTGTCAGATATAAATGCTACAAGTTTCAGTGTTGCCAATAGATCTTTCTATTATATTTTTTTCTTTTGTCTACATTTTCCAATGTTGACAACTTATAAATTTTGTGTATTGTTGCAAAAATTTTTGACGGATACATGTTCCTGGTATCTTATCTTACTTGCCATTTTTTTGGTCTATTATTTACAAAACACCCTGTATAATTYTATTAAAAAAAACTTAGATTCTCCGAGAGTTATTATAAATTGTCAGTCGATTCTTCAGCAGGATAAATCTGGGAAAGATGGACCAGTGGGATAATTTCACAGTATCCAACATGTGGTCCACCTCTCCCGGACATACCCTACATTGTCAAAACTACAATTTGGTACAGATTCTCAGCCGGCCCCTTGGGAAAAATCGCTTTAATTATTTGGTACCGAAATAAGAGTTTTGCCAAACAATACTTCTGATTTCCTGTCTTCACAACCGGACTTGTTGCGTTAATAAAAAGCCGGTAATTTCCTCCGTTCTCAAATATCCGCTCCCACACGAGTTTGTACGAAGAAGCGAAATTGTCTTAATTAAAAAAAAAAAAAACACTTGTAGAAACCGTGTCGATCACCATAAAAAGAAACTTGTTTTCAAACACATACAATGACATAATTAACGTTATGACCAAAATTCGGTTATGAGACGCAACGTCTTCGTCTGAATATTTGAATGAATTAAAATAAATTTGAATGCGGACTGGATTCGAGCTGAGTGTTCTAGGGGAGATTTTGCACGGAAAAAAGGTCACGAAACTAGAGGAATTTGACAATTGTGTGAGTTTCTCGACGATTAATAGTGCTAAACTGTGCTCTTTGTTATTAGACATGATTGATGCGAGAAATGGTAATTACAGTGAGGGAATAATTAGTTAATTTGTAYGCTCATGAACTGATGATTCGACACTGTAATTATTAAATAACTTTCARTTGAATTTTCTTAGCATGTTTAATATTCACCCTTGCATTTATGGTTTGGTAAACACAACACAAGAAAATTTACATCAAGAGAACGCGATTGTAGGCGAAAACCGGCGATTACTGGACTTTTTTCCACGATTTTTTCTCAATTTTTATCAAATGTAAACARAAAAATTGTGCCAAAACTCGAATCTTATCAAATTCATTATTTATTTTCCTCGAGTTACCAAATACATGAAATCTAGAAAACACAAAACAAAAAGTCTTGTAGTTTCAGCCTAGAAATCAASCGGAATCGTTCTACTCTCTAACAATCAAACATTTCTCCCGGATTTAGTAACACTCATCGGTCAACTTTACAGAATTGCTAATCTAATCACACAATTTGTCATCGCCGGAAATAAGATACACAAACTGTTTACACCAATTACAAGAAATTTCCCGAGGCCTTGACTCGTATTTGGCCTTTTTTCAATTTTCGTACCGATAAGAAAGTGATTAATGTCTTCATTTCTCGACTCATAATTGTTATCATTAATTTAATATTGTGGGTGTAGTGAAACTGCGGAAACGCGGTAATTATGCAACTGATTCTAACACGGTGCTAGAGATTTATTACCACCCGAAGCAGAAGCAGTCTATTTAACACGCAGATTACAAGGAAATCTGCTAATAAATGCACTACAGTAGAACCTCGATAAATCGCACCTTTGTATGATAAGTCGAAGTGATGGCTGTTAATAATAGAAATCGATCTAATTTCTGCGTTTTCTGTCACAATTCAAAGCCTGTGAAAGCTTTTTCGAAAAGTCCATTATTTATCATTAAATATKACAATTTTAAAAAACCATAAAGAAAATTCATAAATACTAATCTAGTGCATAGCCTGAAATTATTTTTAGCTATACAGTGTGTTCCGAAAATAAGTTACAATACAAACTTGTGTTTTTTTTTTTTTAATGAAACATCATGTTTCTTTGGCATTCTTAGATGTAGCTTTTAATTTCAATGTTTTAAGACAAATTTTTTGCTGTTTTTGAAATATGTTGGTTTTCTGACGACAACATACTCCTTTTGAAAATTTATTACACAAAAAGTTAAGACGGCTGAAATTTTTTTTACCACTGTAAAGAGGAAAAGTACGATTTCTCTCATTTCTTTAAAGTATTGCAGTCGAAAAGTTAAAAAATGTAAAAGTTTGACAAAAGTCAGATAATTTAACAAATTTWAATGGAAATGGAACACCCATTTTTTATTTTTGCATCTAATAGACTTGTCTATCTAAAAAAATAAACTTGTAATGCATAGAA